TGTCTCTAATGACTTCTCCTTGCTCATTCAGTTTGTTTCTAAACACCCACTTTGTTCCAATGATGTTGAATTCTTTTGGTTTGGGAACCAGATCCCATACATCATTTCTGGTGAATTGGTTTAACTCCTCCTGCATTTCCATAATCCAATCGTTGTCCAGAAGAGTTTCATCAATTGTTGTTGGTTCAATCAGAGATACCAATCCCATGAGGGATTCTTCAGAATTTCTGAATGTTGATCTTGTTCTGATTGGATCATCCTTCTTTCCCAGAATCTTATCTTCAGGGTGATCTATGCAGCTTCTGGATAACCTTTTCTAGAGTTGATCAATAGAAGATGCTGGAATGCTTATGACATTATCTTCTAATGTTGTTGGAGCGTCTCTGTTGGGAACTTCTGATGGGTTGCCTTCAGCACCTGTGAATTCAACTTCTATATCTGCAAAAGATTCATTCTACTATTCCAGAGCCAATGATCTTCCCTCTTTGATTTCCTCCAAAGCCCACGTAGCCTCCAGGTTTAAGTTCCAGGCTTTGGAACATATGCTTTCTTCTCGTCATGTGTCGAGGGCATCCAGAGTCTAGGAACCATGACTGGTGTTTTAGCCTTGCTGCTAAAGATATCTGCTACATATATAATTTTGTCCTTAGGTACCCATATCTTTTAGGGTCCTGGTTTTTTAGTTTTACCAAAATTCTGTTTGAATTTAGTTTTGGCAGAATAATCATTTCTAGTGTATTTGAGATCATATGTGTGCCCATAAGTGAAGTGAGATTTTAGTGGTGTACGTTTAATTACTAGGTCCATGACTTTCTTAGGTGGAGATACCTTACCTTGGTATCCTATTCCTTTTCTTCCATTTCTGCTAACTCCATAGATCATTGAAGCCATCTTGCTTCTATCTATGTTGTTAGCCAGAAACTTCTGAAAGGTGTGATCATATTCTTTTATGATCTTATCAGCATTACTGGGAGCCTCTGAGATTATTTCTTTCTGAGAGATTTATAAATCATTTTCTAGTTTTGAAATCTTTTCTTTTAACTCAGAATTTTCTAATCTTAGACTCTTAGTTTCTTCAGAGTCAGAAGCAAGATCCTTTTTCAGGTTCTTGAATTTGACTCTGAGTTACTGATACCTTTCTAGAATTTCACTCATACTTTTTCCTAGTCCAGCTTTGGTAAAATTAATAGTGAAGTCAGGAAATACCTCTTATGTGTCTGATTCTGAGTCTGACCCAGATGCTTCCCTGTCTTCTGTAACATTTACCATAAGAGGAATGTTGGCTCTTTCATCATCTGACTCTGAGTATGCGTCAGAAGTATCTGAATCATCCCATGTTTCCATGAGACTTTTATTCTTCTCCATGAAGAACTTCTTTTTGGGCTTCTCCTTCTGAAGCCTTGGACAATCACTTTTATAGTGCCCTTGTTCATTGCACTCATAGCAGATGATGTATCTGTTGTTTGACTTTCTATGACCAGAAAAAGCTTCAGACCTTCTGTGTCTAGAGGAGGACTCATACTTTCTGTATCCAGAGGAGGGTTCATTCCGATTCCATGATCTTCTGGAGTTTTTGAATTTTCTTTGCCTCTGCTTCCACAACTAATTGTCCCTTTTGGAGAGGAGAGATAATTTGTCTTCTTCTGATAAGGATCCATCATAGCTTTCTTCCATAGCCTGCAAAACCTTAGAATCAAGTTTTTTGTTAGATTTTAATGCTAAAGGATTACCTTGCTTCTGAGGCTCGTCATCTTCTAGCTCTATCTCATGGCTTCTGAGGGAGCTAACAAGTTCCTCCAGAGATATCTTGTTGATATCTTTTTCCAGCTTAAGAGCAGCGACCATTGGCCTCCATTGCTTTAGTAAACTTATGGTGATCTTCTTTACGTGATTAGCAGTAGAATACCCTTTGTCAAGAACTCTCAGCCCAGCAAATAGAATATGGAATCTTGAGAGCATTGCTTCTATGGGTTCACTATCTTCCATTTTGAAAGCTTCGTATTTCTGAATGAGCGCAAGGGCCTTGGTTTCTTTAACTTGTATGTTTCCTTCATGCGTCATTCTTAGAGAGTCAAACATGTTTTTGGCTGTCTCTTTATTTGAGGTATTCTCATACTCTGAGTATGAGATGACACTGAGAAGAATTGTTCTGGCCTTATGATGGTTTCTGAAGTCACGCTTTTGTTGGTCAGACATTCTTTTTCTATCTATCTTTTGACCGCTTTCATCCACGGGATGCATGTATCCATCAATTACCATATCCCATAAGTCAACATCATGGGCCAGAAAGAAGATCTCAATTCTATCTTTCCAGTAGTCAAAATTTTCTCCATCAAAGACTGGAGGTTTGCCACTGATTTTGTCCTTATCATCATGATAGTCGTTGCTAATGTTTTGGCTTGATCCCACCATAGTGTTTTTCTAAAGCTTGGATCTTGTACTGACACGGTTAAGTGTATGAACTCAGAACCAGACACTCTGATGCCAATTGAAGAAGTGAAAAACACAAGAGGGGGGGGGGGGGGTTGAATTGAAACTTAAAAATCAAAAGCAATAGACACGATGATTTTTATCATGGTTCACTTGATATCAAACTACTCCAGTCCATCCGCCAAGGTGATTTCACCTCTCTCCAACGAGGACTTAATTCACTAATCAAACTGATTACAATTCTACTTTGACAACTGCCGAAGTCTTATTGACTACAACCATAATCCGGTTTATCTCAAGGAAATTCACTTGATCAAAAGAAAATATTCACTGTGTACTATATGTTTTTCGTTACAAAAACTGTATCACTACTGTGATGTATTACACAAATTTGGAGTATAGTATGAATATAAGTTTTGCATCTTTTTGAGATTATATGGAGCAGTCGTGTGAAAACGTAAACGATTTACCCTTTGAACTTGTTTATATAGGCGTGGCAGTCTGTCCAAATGGAAACGTGATAATAGACACTTAATGCTCTTTCCATACTGAGAAGATCCTTGTCTGATTGTAGCCGTTGTAAGTGATATTGCCTTAATGGAAAAGTAACGCTTCAAAACCTAGGAATCTTGCATGCTGCTTTACTTCAGAACTTGGGAAGTCAGAAGCATAAGGTTCTGTTAGCGTGTTGGACTTCTGTTCAGAATCAGGATATCTTTCTCTTTAGCGCAGTTTCTGATCATCATATGCTTCAGAACATTCTGATTACTCAACTTGAGTGCTTTTGTGGCTTAACTTCTGTTGCCGTTTCAATCAGAACTTCTGTACAACATAGAACACAAATTTAGAGTGCATATTTATTCTTTGTGTTTGTTATCATCAAAACTCTAATGAGGGTTGTAGAATCAAATTATGTTCTAACAGTTGTTTGTTTATTTGATTTAAATGTTTAATATATATCTAGGTAATTGTTTTGCATCTCTCTACATTGCTCCTGGTTGCAAACTCAAGGTATTTCCAGGGAAAACCAAAATCCTTCTCCATCTCTCTTGATTCAAGACTCTCCAACCCACATTAACAACAAGCAACTCAACATTTACTCATCGTGAAACAAACATCACTCTACACTAATTTCATATCAAAGCTCGTGAAAACAAGAGGTTGGGATGGAGAAAAATCAACCATAATATTGAGCTCTAAAAATGAAGAAAGAGGTGGTTACAGTCATGATTTTGCATATGGAAATTTGTATGAATGTTGCTTGTGGTTGTGTTGAAAGGGTGGATGATTTATGGATTTGTTCACACAGAAAGGTGGTGGATATATTAGGCTATGGAGTTGTTGTTCACAGTTTGGAAACAAGTAAGGATGAAGAAGAGGTTATGAAGGTGTTTGCTCATGGTAGAGCGGTATTACATTTTCTGAAAGTTTTGAAGGTGTTTATGGTGAAACTGTGAGTGGTGAGTGGAAGGTCGTGAAAGGTTGTATCACGGTGTAGTTGGTTTATATGGTGGATTCAATACACATGATTTGAGCAATATATAGTATAATAGGATACCTAAATTTCAAGCACAACCAGAAGGTTGTGGCTGAGAATGTGATGACGAGACACCTGAATTTCCAGATCCTCCTCATGCTCTTGAAGATATTTCTTAAAACTCTAAAATAATGACAAACATTTTTAGAAAGACACTTGAATTTACATCTTATTTGTTCAATATAAAGTTATAATTTTACCTGTTAGAATATCTTCTGAAAGCTCAAAATCTTTCATGAGGCTCATGTCTTTGAAATAGGTAAAAGAAGGCCTTAAGCAATTTTGGGTGCAAATTAATGCCTATGCCATTTAAGTTGTTAGAGAGCTCCTATAGGTTTCTATGACTCTTCCTCATGTCCTGAAAGCACTTTCAGAAGCAACAGTAGACACTGAGGTGGCTAAAATATCTTTAGCCATTGTAGATAAAATAGGATGTTCAATTAAATTGTGTTTCCACCACACAAGAATGTCAAAATTAGAATCCCTTTTGACACACTTATTAGAGATACAACCCTTGAGTTAATTTTGTTGATCAATCGAGTCTTGTTCCACTAAATGTTTCTCAAAAGCATCAACTCTAGCCATAAGTGAAGAACGTGCAACATCAACATTTGTTTTAGAATTTGACGCTTGTCCACCACTACCAAGAGGTTGTCCAACATTATGTTTTTGGTTATAAGCTTGCTTATACCAATCATATAACTTTTGAAAACTCTCTTTTATAGATTTGAGCAAGTCACTACCAAACTTGGATCCAACTCCATACATATCCTTAAAATTCCACTGAATATGACTCAACTTGTATCTTGGATCAATAATAATACCAAAATATATCATCTTGTTCATCTTATCAGCAATCCTCAATATCTATTATACGTTCCCATCATCTCTTCACCCACACTTTCAAAAATATAATTTAAGTTCATTGAAGTTTGCTGCAACTCACAATAAATAGAAGGCACTTGGTGAAAACAAGTATGCAAACTCATATTTTGAGAGGTGAAAAAAATCGTAGTTGCTTCATAGAATAACTTTAGAAAAACGAAAAAAGCTCTGGAAATGTCCCAATCATCACTACTAGGGGGTTACCTTTTCCAAAGAACTCCCTATATCTTGACTCTTCTTCCTCGAGTTTATCAAAAGTGAGTTGAAACTTCTCTGCAACCTCTAACATTAAATATGTCAAGTTCCAACGAGTTGAAACATCAAGACACACTAATTTTTTACAAGTTATTCCAACAAATTCAATGCATTTTTTAAACTTGGCTTCCCTATGAGGTGAGGACTTGACAAATCTAACAACATCCCTAACACTATTTATAGATAAATGTTTGTCTTTCAAACCTTCATTTACCACCAAGTTCAAAATGTGAGCAGGATACCTCATATGGAAATATTCTCCACCCCTCGTCAACCCATTTATAGTTGCCATTTTTTCTTCAAATATATCACAACAACATCATTTGCAGTAGCATTATCAACAATTATGGTTAAAACATTCTAAATACCCCAATCCCTTAACACTTCTTCAATCCTCCTACCAATTGTCTCACCTTTGTGGTTTGGAACTACGCAAAAGCTTATAATTCTTTTTTGATATTTCCACTCGTTATCCACAGAGTATGTCGTAAGGGTTAAGTAGCTGAGATTTTGTATAGAAGTCCAACAATTAGTAGTAAGTGTTACCTTATTGCAGTCAGACTTAAAGAAGGCCTTTAACTTTTGTTTTTCATCCAAGTGTAGCTGAAAACGGTCCATAGCAATTGTACGCCTAGATGGGATGGTAAATTGTGGTTGCATCACTATAGAATAAAACTTAAACCCGTCACCCTCAACTGTACTAAATGATTGCTCAACAAGAATCACAAAAACTGACAAAGCACTTCTACAAGCTTTCTTGTCCAAATTTTCAACAAAATTCTAACACGATGGAGAAAAAGTTCACAAATTCCTCTCTTTATTTGACTCATGTAAGAGAAAAAAAAACAGCTTGTGCATATCAATAAGTAAAAGCCAAAAATACTAAGATCCTAATGTTCCAGCAGTTCTTTCATAGACACAATAAGTAAATCAAATCAGCCTGTGCATATCAATAAGTAAAAGCCAAAATTATAAATTGAAAAAGTTTAACGCATATATATAATTCCTAAACCAAATCAGCACAAGGTTTGGATAAAGACAAAACAAATTAACAAATTACAATCAATTATTACATACTTGTTCATTGAAATTTAGCCTCATAATTTGCATATTCACTGGCACCTAAACACTAAGGTACAAAGGTGAAGACAAGTTTGAAAATAAGTTTGAAACAGTCCCAATTTCAAACATGTCTCATACACTACCGGCTGGTTTTAAATCATTTTGAAAACAATTTGAAAATCAGTTTAAAACAGTCCCAGTTCATATACAACACATACAATCCTAATTAGCATATATTTCATAGACATGGAGTCGAATACACTTACAATTACCTTGCTCTTGCTCTAAGACTGTTTTCATACTACTTTGGCGTTGATGATCTATGCTACTTTGACGTTGATGATCCATCTGTCGAAATCACCAGTACAATTTTTATTAAATTATCTGTTTTCAAAATGGAAATGTCTTATACTTTTCTTTCTTCTTAATACATACATACCCAATTAGTTCTTTTCAAGCACCAAAACAGGTTTTGAATTCACTTCAAGAATTAAAACAGGTTTTTAATTCACTTTAAAGTAAAACAAAGTACTCAAAAAAGTTTATGGTTAGATGGTTTGATGACTCCTCTTGCTCTATGACTCCTTACTGCTACTTTGCCCATGTTCTATCCGTTCAAATCAAAGCGACCAAAAAACAATATTAGAAAACAATAATTTATTTAGTCCAAATCAAAACAACAAATAACAATATCTAAAAACAACAATTTATTTAGGATAGATGGTTCATGACAAACAGAATATCAAAGCATCTTTATTTTGTAGTCAAGAAGAAACATGATGAATGAGCGATCGATATCAAAAAATGTTCATGTAGATATCAGATTGTAGATGTCCAAGTCGTTGTAATGAAATGAAACAATAACATAAAACATTAGAAAATTAATACACAAAAATGATTTGAAACTCTAAATCAAAAACTCTAAAATTGAATAAAATTAACCAACCTTGCAAACATATGAAGAACAAAGATCCCAACTTCAAAAAAATGGCGGTTGTGCTGCTCATCACCGTCGTGTTGCTCATCGTCGTGGTGTTATTCGTCTGAAGGTGAGTGACAAAACGAGATGAGAGTGAATGTAGTGTGGTGGTGGTGGTGGTGTTCTTCGAGGTGGAGTTGATGGTGGTGAGTGATGGTTGTGGTCGGTGGTGTTTACATGAGGTGGCAGTGAGTGACGAGAGTAGACGAAAACATAGAAGCTCTACTGAGAGTGACTGGGTGAGAGAATGGTAAGACTAAGATAACTCCTCCACTAAACCTAACTGTTCGGACGGGTCAGAGTACCCGTAACCCAATCTTTACTACTTGGGCCTGCCTATCTAATCCAGTTCGACCCGCATTATTACACCCGAGACGAGAGTGCATGTATTGTGGTGGTGGTGGTGTAGTTCTTCGTGGTGAAGTTGATGGTTGTGGTTGGTGGTGTTTACATGAGGTGGCAGTGAATGACGAGAGTAGACGAAAACATAGAAGCTCTACTGAGAGTGAGTGGGTGAGAGAATGGTAAGACACTACAAGAAATGTGTTCTCCAACGACATAAAGTTGTGACGTGATTATCACGTGGCTAAAAAAAGGTTGTTGCGACGTGATAATCACGTCACTATAAAATTTATATATTAAAAAAAATCAACATAACGTTCCGATGTAGAGATTCTTTTTTTTAAATGAAATTTGTTGCGACCTGGGATTCACGTCGCTAGAAAAAAGTTAAAATAAAACAAAATAAAAGCTGTAACGTTCAGATGGAAGAATTTTTAAAATTTTTAAAAAATTAAGTTGTGACGTGTTTTTCTCGTCGCAATTTTTAAAGGAGAAATTTATTTGGTTTTGACTTGACAAGTTACCATCCATGTGCAGAAAGAACGAATATTTTATGACCGTTATGTGTGTTGCGACGTGAAAATCACGTGGCAAGGTTGCGATGTGATTTTTGCGTCGCTACGTGACGTATATAGAAACGCTCCATATCCAAATCTCAATTTCATTGTTTCACAGTTTAAATAATATATTTAAAATATTATTTTTTAATTATATAGATTAAACTTTTTTATATATATTTTGTAAGAAAAATAAAACAGAATATATAATATATATATATATATATATATATATATATATATATATATATATATATA